CTAAACTCATGCAGCTGAGCAGGAGGGTGATAAGAACCCACCCACCTGCCTGGAGGGCGGCATGCCCCAGCTCCAGAGACAGAAGCTCTTCTGCTCTCCTAGACCTCACCCTGGTGTCTTTTCATCTGGTTGTTTCTATGTATCCTGTGTAATATCATTTATAATAAATGGTAAACATAGGAAAGCATTTCCTTGAGTTCTGTGAGCCTCTATAGCAAACTAACGGAACCCAAGGAAGGGCCGTGGGATCCTCAATTAACAGTCACTTGGTCAAAAGCACAGGACAACTTGGGGCTTGTGATTGGCACTGGAAATGGAAGGCAGTATTATGGGACTGAGCCCTCACCCTGTGGGATCTGACGCTATCTCCAGATAGATCGTGGCAGATGGTCGTGGGAGTTTAGCTTGGGCTAGAGCCTTTGACTGTGGATAGTGGCAGAGTGGAATTGATTTGGAGGACCCCCAAATGGTGTCCCTTAGCTTAACTCCCTTACCTTAACTTGAGTGTTTTTTTCTACTGACTTCACGTCTTTAGCTTAACTCTTTCAACCAATTGCCAATCAGAAAAATCTTTGCATCCACCTGTGACTCATAAGCCTTCCACTTCATGTCCTGCTTTTTCAGGCTGAAACAATGTGTATTTTACATGTTTCGATTTATGACTCTGCATGTAAGTTCTTTCCCTAAGTTTTAGGGAGACAGAGGTTACCTTGGGCACACTTTCTCAGGATCTTCTGAGGCTTTTCCCCAGGCCATCATCACTCACATTGGCTCAGAATAAACCTCTTTAAATATTTTACAGTGTTCAGCTTTTTCATCAGATGCAAACTTGACATACTAAATACGCTGAAGAAAATTGAGAAAACGGAAGAGGTAGAAAGGTAACTTTCTGATTTTTTCTGCCCTTCTCTCTTGAGAGCTGTCCACAAAAGAATTCTCAGACCTACCTCTTCTGAAAGAAGGTAACAAACCCCTTATTCCAGAGGGGCCCTGACCAATGCCCAGAGGGGAAAAAAATGTCACATGGGGAGGCCACTAGAATCTGAACACACAAACCTTGCTAAGTCCTCCTCCTCAGTTTATTTCCATTACATCATATTTTTAAACGATCTAATCATACTTTTAAGGTTTGCATGCCTCATGAAACTTCTATTAAGTAAATTTCCTATACTTTTCTGTTACTAATCTGTCTTTTGTTGGAAGTTACCAGCCATGAACCTTTTGATGAGCAAGGAAAAAAAAGTCTTACTTTCCTCCTCCGCCCCCCCACCCCATACCACTAATTGTAAACTTTGCGAAGTTTTGATACTGTCTATCATCTTACCGTGTGACCCATCTTATTCACAGGGAAGTCACAACAAACCACATGTGGTCTATGCAGTCCATTTCTAGGGGGTTTTGCTTGAAGTTTCTATACTCCTAGATTCTTAGGCTTAGCATCATTACAGAGGGATAAAATGTGTGTCTGAACTGTATCAGTTCATTATATCAGGGATAGACAGTGTCTGTGAACTGTATCCCTACATTATGTCAGGGATAGAATGTGCGTGTGAAGTATATCAGTTCATTATATCAGGGATGTAAGGTGTGTCTAAACTGTATCCCTACATTATATCAGGGATCAGCCATCTATTGAACTATTAAGACCCTTGGGATATATTTGTTTGCAAAATAGGCGCCTGTCCTCATGAAGCTGCCCATGTAGCCCAGAGGCAGTGAATAATAATAAATAGAATAAGTAAGTTAACTCTGTAGTCTGTGAATGTCAAATGGTAGAGAAAGAGAAAAGTAGAGTAGATTGAGGGAGAGAAAGAATTGCTGAAACTGTGGTCATATTGGTTGCTTTTTACAATGTCATCGATAGTCTAGACCTCTTTGGAAGGATAACATTGGAGCAGTCTTGAGGAGATAAAGAATTTAGCCCTGAGGATAGTGTTGGGGTGGGAGGGATCCCACGTGGAGGAAAAAAAAACAAAAAAAACTGGTAGGACAGCCCCGAAGTGAGAGTGTACATGGCTTATTCAAAGAGTGACAAGAAGCCAAGATGACTGGAGCAGTGAGGGAAACAGTGGTACACGCAGACATCTATGTCTGGTAATGGGGAGAGGAGCATGGAAAGGGCCCCTTATAGCTTACTGTAAGAATTTTAGATTTTACTCCCAATAAACGGTGAGCTACAATGGGGTTTTAATCACCAAAGTGGCATGATCTGATGTTTCTTCAACTGCTGCTTTAGAAATAAGCCTTAGAGGATTTAGGTGAAGCAGGAACATACCGTAGAAATGGTTGGAACCTAGGTGTATTCTGAAGGTAGAGACAACAGGATTCCTTTACTAGTTGGATATTGGTTTCAAGGGAAAGAGAAGCACCAGGGGCAACTCTAAGGGCTTAGATTGAGCGACTGAAATTGGGGGCCTCC